TGTGTGTGTGTCTGTGTCTCTCTGTGTGTGTGTGTGTGTGTGTGTTGATCAGGAGTGTTTCAGATTTATGAGGAAGATCTTAAGGTGAAAATAGCAGTGAGTTATTTGCGCTCCCTCACGTGTGGTGTGAATGACGGCTCATCAGTTGCGAAAGCTTATCCAGACAGTGGTTTGTGTTGTGAAATCAGTTTAATCACCGGATGGATTGTATTATTAAACACAGGAAGATTTCTCACTTTTCTAGTCGAGCCTGTATGGGTTGATCAGTGTGAAAATAACACAGGAACCAACCAGCAACGAGAAAAGCAGAACTGAGTTAATAGTAGACAAGCAAACAAATCCAGCGAAGATTTTGTTCTGTCTGTGTTAGATTCCTTCTGCAGGCAGAGCATTACTGGAGCGTTCCAGCCACAGCAGACAGTGGAGACAATCTCACAGTGAGAGTTGATGTAAAAAATAACACTTTTACTCATCAAGGATGCATTAAACTGATCAAAAGTGCCAGTAAAGACATTTATAATGTAACAGTACATTTATATTTCAAATAAAATGCTGAACTATCTGTCTATCTATCTATCTATCTATCTATCTATCTGTTTGTAAACACAGACTCATTATCATAGGTAAAAAATAACACTTTTACTCATCAAGGATGCATTAAACTGATCAAAAGTGCCAGTAAAGACATTTATAATGTAACAGTACATTTATATTTCAAATAAAATGCTGAACTATCTGTCTATCTATCTATCTATCTATCTATCTATCTATCTGTTTGTAAACACAGACTCATTATCATAAATATTGCATATGTGTTGTTTGTTGTTGACTGTCATGTATTAATTATACAGTCTATCAAATGCATTAGAAAGAAGGAGTGTTGTGCGAGGAACTCGTGATGAATGCAGTACAGATCTGAAGTGTGTGAGTCTCAGTACTCTTTCATTCAGACGTTAGAGATGTTCACTCAAGCATACGATCACATTATTGTAAAATAATGTCATTAATCTCGTGTAAAGTGCTGAATGCTGATGTGTGATGTCATGAAAAATGGTCTCCATAGCAACTCTCCTGAAGACACAATATATAGGTTATGTTTATGTATAAATGAACAGGAAGGCCGTGGCTGAATGCGATTTAAAATGAATCTGAATCCACACAGACTGAGTATCAGTTCACTGTCCTGTTTGTGTGGTGTCTTTACAGCCATCGTTGAGCAGATGAAAACACACGGCACCAGGAAACTATACAGGTGTGTGTGCGTGCGTGCGTGTGTGTGTGTGTGAGAGTGAGTGAGAGAGTGAATGTTTGTTTGAGTGTGTGAGGAGGGCAGTTGTGTTTAGACAGGTGTCCTGTGTGGAAGGTGGGCTCTGGTTCACACACAGCACTATTAAAGTGAGGTGTGTAATTAGAGGTCGTTGTGAAGGACTGAAGGAACAGTGTTTGTCTCTCAGCTGCTCCTTTACAAACCCATAAAGCACCTGACGGTGAGATGAGAGCAGAGCTTGTGTCTGATTATTACAGGACAGAGCTGCTTCTGTTCACAGAGAGTCGGCTTGATGAGGATGATTGTGTCAAATAAACCTACAGTGTTTGTCATATTATAGTGAAATGAAGCTCAAAAATATGTCTGGTACTTCACCCAAAAATCAAACAAA